CTGTACACCCTCTTACCAAGGATGGTGACATTCTTCGGCGATGGAGGGAGCATTTTGAGGAACTCCTTAAACACGAGCAACCACAGGAAGAGTCGCCTGTAGAGCAGCAGGGAACGGATATTACTATCTGTGTATATGAAACTATCCAAGCTGTCAAAACCTTGCAAAATGGAAAGGCTACTGGAATTAATGAAATCCGCCCTGAAATGCTCAAGGCATTAGCCGAACAAGGCATGTGCTAGCTTACGTATGTCCACGAAACTGCGACGACTACTGGGAAGGTACCAGAGGACTGGAGAACGGTGGTTGTAGTACCCCTGTTCAAAAAGGAATACCACAGGGGTGCTCTAACTATCGGGAAGTTACCTTATTCAGCCTCCCAGATAAAGTCTATACAACGGTGCTAGAAAGCAGGCATCGCGGAATAACCTACTTCTAGGTACGAGAAATGCAGTGGGCTTCTGGTCCAGCTGAAGCACAAATCATGAAATATTTGCTCAACGCCAGACTGTTGATAAATCGTGGAAGTTCTCTCAGTTGGTGAGTATTTAGTCTGTGGGGTTAGAGAACAATTATGACCGGATACTACGCCACAATTTTTGGTCGTGCCTACCGAAAAATGGATTTATGGCCAGTTGCAACGGGTTATTTAATCACAATATACTTATTACAGGCGCTGCGTCAGGGTAAATGGTGCTAATTCGCGACCTAGCAGCACCCTCTCTGTTCTCCGCCAAAGCACCGCTCTGTTATCTCTCCAATTTGTGTTGTACTTGGATATAATACTCAGTGTGTATCAGCGTAGGAGATTTCGAGACAAGAAGGCTGCTGTCTGTAGACGACCTTGTTCTGTTGGCATCTTCTGAAACTGATCTCTAACGCTCCTATCTGGAAATCTCTAGCCAAGTGTAACGAGGGCTGCATGTGTATAAACCTATCCAAAAAGAAAAGCTTCATTCTTTCTCGTTCTCCTGTCCGTTTCTTTTTTTAGATAAACGGGGAAGCAGTGAGTAGGTAAAGAAGTTAGTACCATAGGGTCGTTTGACTGGTGTTGGAAAATTTGAGGAATGGATCGACCGGCGGACTGGAATAGCCAGTGGCGTTCTGCATCAACTAGCCTGAACCACTGTGACTAAAACAGAGCTAAATCTTAAGACTAAACTCTCGGTGTTCAAGCTGATCTTCATCCCAATGGTAACTTACGGTCATAAGTCGTGTACCATGACTGAAAAACTTTAATCCCTAGTACAAGCGGTCGAAATGGTCTTTCTAAGGCGAATGGCAGGCATTATGCGTCTCGACATATTCTGGATTACAGAAATCTGAGCGACCCTTGTTGAATGGCTGCTGTTTCTTCAGATAGAGAAGTCACCGCTGCGATGGTTTTTACAAGTATTGTGAATGACTCCAGAAAGGAAGTCGAACCACTGCTTGGCCATCCGGCGGGCAGAAGATCCAGGGGCCAGCGAGGGATAATCTAGGGCAAATGTTTTGATGGCATCTGTTCTACACTCTGGTTATTTTCGACGCAGCTCAGAAACATTGGAAACACCGTCTGACTCGTTTGTCTCCATGACTGTTAAGGAGAAACGGTCAAGTGAAAGTAACTATGAGAGGTCATTAATTAGGACAGTACTTAGTCCTGCAGTCGCGGGCTTGCATCTATGTCATTATCAGACGATCATCTGTATCAACGTTTTGCTGGTCAGCAGTACGGAAAGCGAGCTATGTTAACTGAGGGCATCCGTATGTAACACAGACGCAAATGCAGAGCTGTTCCTTAACGCCTGAAAATCAATATTCATGAGGAACCCATTAAGTGCGGCTGATCAGATAAGGGAGATGAAGCGCATCAATAAGTTGACTAATTGAAGGATCTCGACTCAGTGATTTCCAGTGATGGCACAATCAAGTCAGAGTTAAACAGGAGGATGAGGGGAGTTTTAGCTGCAGCGCTTTCCAAAACCCGTGAACGGAGTAACTTATTCCACAGAAATACGCCTGTACCTTGCCTCTATAATGTCAGTGTTATTGTACGGAATGGACTGTTCTAATGCAGGAGCCAGAACGATGGTTTAACTACGTACAGCAGCATCGCTTCGCATCGCTTCGACGCATAATGAGGATCAAACGGCAGTGCAGCGCAATGAATGACTCGATTATTTTCTGGGCACACGTTACTTCAGTAGATGTGATTACGAAAAGGAGATGGGTTTTTTTTGAACATATTAGTTGAGCATAAACTACGCAGTACCGCCGGCTTGTTCCTAGGTGCAGAGATAATCCATGAAGCAGATCACCATGGCTATCGTATCAAACATCACAGCAACTTTGTTATTTTATCATCTATAACAGTACTTTTCTCGCCATCAAAACTACTTCAGCAACTGTTACACCTTGGCAACAATGACACCCTTATTCCTTTGGCAAGAAAAAGTACGGGATCTGATAGCCTGCTTTATTTTATTCGCTAAGGCAAAATCATGATCATCATTAAAGATGCTCTGGGAGCCAGTTTCCTCATGTTTCTTCTGTACAGCACAAAATATGGTTGTTATGGCAGAATATGCTGATTCATTTTCAACTTTTCCTAAACTTCTTGGAATGTGAATCCTTTTAACTCTGGTTTCGGAGGTGCTATGACGTAAGATCATATCCGAGAACGAATCCATATTTATGGTATTTTCGTAAACCCAAAACCTGAATCAATGAACTGGAAAGTTCCAAAATATTGGAAAGATGCTCAACGCTTAATAATATTCTCCTGTAATCGCTCCTGAAACTATCTTAGTGGTGCGTAAGATATTGTATCAGCCAAAAAAATTATCCAAATTCTCAAATACCACGAGACTGAAGTTATTCCATGGGCGTCTAGGAACAATTGAGATCTACCGCAGGGCCTGAAGACAGTGATTACTTGTTTATTTTAGTTTGCCACTTGAATCTGTTTCGACTGTTAGTTAATCATCAAGCTGGTCAAGGCGAATTTCAAAGCACAGGTGTCAGACAGCAGAATGGCAACACCCACTCATTTTTACATAACCACACCAGAGCGCCATGTTGTCGCTATTATTGGGATGTCATTGACTTGTTACCGATTTTTCCGCCGGTTGCACCAAAGCAGCTTGAAATTCATTTCTTGTTGGAGAGAATTATCAGTTGATAAAAAATATTTATACTACCCTGGGGGTTTCAGTTCGGGACACTGAAGCATAGACTACAAGCCCATTTCACCAAGTCCGCATCGCCCCCTATGAGTTATGTGCATATTATAGCATGCTCCTTCTACAAATATATATTTTTGCCGAAACTGTGGAAAAACGCTTGAACGTTAATGAGAGATAAAAAAAGCAACAAAGTGCCATTCCTACACAGTAGCGAAATTTACTAGAGATGCAATTTTTCTGACTACTTTCTAAAAGAATTAGCAGGCTGATTTCAATCATATTAAATCAATCAAACGACATATCCTTAGACATTCTCATCGCTGCAATCACTCAACGAAACATTATCATAGAAGCTTACCTGAGGGTTGATTTCTGTTTCTGTCGAATTTAAGTCCTACAAACGAGTCAAATTAAT